ACAATCTCACAACTTTTTTTCCTTATTCATCCCTCTCTGTTTATGCAGTTCCCAGAAGGCATTGCCTTTTAGACTCTCCCATTCCGGCGGCAGAGATGTCAGGAAAACAAATAACGGCGGGAAACAAAACAAAACAAAGTCTCCTGAAATACCTTGTGGATGCCCAGAGGAAGACGCTGGACAGACAGATGAGCAGATAGGTTTCCTCTGTCCTCCTCTCTCAGGCTGCCTCCTCTCTCGGCGTGCTGTGGAGAGTGACTGCTCACAGCCCGCCTGGCATATCTAATTAGAGCCCGGCTGTTGCCACTATCGGGCAGAGGATCTACCTCTCCAATCTCTCCTGACTCAATCTTCCCCATCTCTGATTTTCTTTTATATTTATGCTGGAATATTTAATTGTAGACAAAAGGTTACTCTGGGCTCTATTCATCGCACACAGGCAGAATAATCTCCTTTAAAAGGCTTGACATTTCAGGCTTTTCAAAAGGGGCTGAAAAAATTATATCCCCGCTTTTGTTAATCAATGAAGTAGAACTCCCCCGAACAAAAGAATTAAATTGCTTGGTTGGGTTAATAAAACACACAGAAATAGCTGCTTCCTGTGGGCTTTTGTGCTTGCCACTGGCTCCCCCCATATGCAACCAGCACTGTAATTCCATATGATTTGGGGGGCAAAACTCTCATTTCTCCACACAGTTGGCTTTTTAAATCCTACTGAATGAGCAGTCTGTGAGGCTGGCTGATTGGGACCTCTTGCCTGAGCCTGGCTGCCTGGCTAGCAGAACAGGCTCTCTCCATTCAAATATGACTTCCACTAAGGAGAGACAGCGGGTCCACTACAATTTACAATTTCTATACTGCCCCTGCCTCAGAAAAACATTGTAATTATGCAAATGATAGGGGTAATAATTAGGCCCTTCACTGTCCCATTGTGTTAGCTGCTGTCGTGTTTCGGTCCAATGGTACGAGAGAAGCAGCAGGGCACGTTCGGGTTTAAATTGCTCCTTACAGACAGCCTGCAGATGTTCACAGCATCTTCTGCCCTATAACTAGCCATCACCCCGAGCCAGGGAGCCTCCATATATATACATTACACAGTGGCAGCAGACTCTGATTTAGCTATGGGAAAGCTGCCTAAGAGCAGGATGTCACTGCAGCACACAGCTGTTGTCTTATCCAGGGGCCTGCTGGTACTGATTACTCCATTGCAATCTTCAAACTGTTTTACCTGTGAACACTACCTATAGGCTATATTATGCCTACTACGAGAGCAGCTCAATTAACCAGGCGGTGCTATAGGTGTTGTACTGTAAGCCAAGTGCAAATGTTTGATTATTAATTTACTTTCAAGTCATTAATCAAGAAAAAATTTGTGTGCTTCTCAAATGGCATGATTTGCCTTTTTTTAATGCTTGACATCACTGTAAACTGAATATCCCTGACTTTAAAGGGACAGTTTACCCAGGAATCAAAAACACACATTTTTCCTCTTACCCGTTGTGCTCTTTATCAGTCTTAATTGTTTAGGTGTGAGTTGACGCCTGTTGAGGATATCGGCCATAAAGATGTCTCCCTTTTCTACCATATAATGGAACTAGATGGCACTTGATTTATTTATTTATGGTGCTCAAAGCAGTAAAAAATACTTTTTAAAAAAAGTCAACAGCAATGTCTCGTTCCAGAAATCATGACCTGGTTACTCAAAATAATCCATAGAGCTTGTTGTGGGCAGTTTCATGTAAGAACTTTTGTCTCTCTACACCACAATGCCCTCTAAGCATATGACCATGCAGAAGGAAGCATGCATCTACTGCTAGCTCCCCTAGCACCACTGAGTTCGTTGATAACACAACTCAGCCAAGGAGAAAACCATTAATGTTTACATCTCCTGCTGTCACAAGCACTTGCCTCTGTTTCATAAAATAAAAATAAAAATAAAAATAATCAGCAGTCACTGAGGTATATATTGTACCTATAGGCGCATTCACACCAGGAGAGTCCCGCGGACTTGGTTCGATTGGGCAGGGAATGCCGAAAAATTTCACACCTTCATTTGGTTTGGTTCACTTTTACAATGCACTTTTTAAACCGGACCAAACAGCCTGGACAACGTCACACAGTTACAACAGCTGCTCCTTTGGGGGCGGTACTGCCTGAAATGACCACTGACCAGGAAGGAAAAAAGCATGAGGAAGAAGAAAACCCGGCTCATCGATTGGCCAGGACCGAAAATGGTAATCCATCCCCTTCAGCCAGCTTGGTTACCACGAAAACAAACCTCTCTTTGGTTCACTGGATAGTCTGTTTGCATTTCCCACTGTAAGCGAACCGCACCAGGGTTCACTTGCAAGTGAACCGAGACCCCCAGTTTTCAAGAGGACCAGGGTTCGCTCGTTTGATCCGCACCGTTAGAATGAGTGTTCACACCACTCCAAATGAACCGAACTATCCGTGGAAGTGGACCAGGGTTTGTTTAAAACCGACCAAATAGCGCTAGTGTGAATGCATCCTAAATGGTTGTTAAAAACAATAGACAACAGGTGATGACATAATGTGTACCAGCAAGATCAGGGATGTTAATTTGCACTGAACTGCTGATATTTTACTGAGCATTAAACAGTTGGTAAGAAATGTTGGAATATGACTTCTCCAGCATTTCTATCATCTAAGTGGAACAAAATGTCCAGCTGCCAAGAATTAACATTATGCTGCAGCTGAAGCACTCTCAGAGTTTGTACTCCCAAGTAAGCCTCATCACCATTATGATGTTTGAGTGTCATATCAAAACTGGGTCACCATTCATTCAAGTTTTTAGTTGTATACGAATGCTGACCACTCTTACGCAACCAAACACTACTGACAACTAAACTGTATCGGTCAGGTAAGCCCTGCTGCAGTCAAAGGGCCAGTACAGAGAGAGGCTAAAGAGAACCTACTTCCCTCAGACCATCTGACTCCTGAACAAGGACACTGCCCAGGCTCCTGACAGACAACTCTTCTTATGTTATTGTCAATTGCCTTCACTATTCTCCAGCACCCTTCCATATTGTACTTACGTACATATTGTGCAGTGCACATATTAACTTAGTTGTATTTATTTTCATTGTCTATATTTCAACAAGTCCGAAAACTTATACAGCCACATAGGTTGTATGTTCCTACCCTCTTAATGGGACCCACAGGAAAGTCTCCATAAATTAGGGCCCCTCCTGGTGGAAGACATATGACCATATGACAGTTAATGGTCGCAGTTTTACACGTGATAAACATTGTAAAACAGTTGCAGCTGCACCAGAACTGTGTGATTAGGTTTTAAAATAAAGATGATTGTTTGGATAAAAATAACTATGTTTGTTTCTAAGGTAACATATTGTAACGTAGGCTATCTCATGTGACATCTGTCACATGACACTAGAAAATACTGAGTTACGTTCTTAAAATGGCTTACGGGACACGAACATCAATCTACTGGACGAAAGTCCTGTGCTTGTTTGACCCATCAACTGTTCCTCTTGCCCTTGGTGGACTTTTTCACTTTTTATACTGTGTTGCCTGACCTCCTCCTTTGAACCTGTATGTACTACCGCGACTAGAGGTGGCTGCCTAACCACAACGTAAATACGGGTCGTCATTTCTACTTGTAAAAACGACCTATATTATGAGGTTGTACATATGAGGAGAAGAGTGTTTTCTTTATTATTCTTTATTATATTACATATATTGTATTTTTATTTAAAGAACAGTACCGCAGAGGACAACAAAGCATTTCACAACACACTGTAGGAATATGTCGAGAATGTGACAAATAAAACCTGAAACTAGAGCGAAAAAGAGCATAGCTTTGTAACGTTCTTAGTTTTCTTGAGAGCATTGATCAGGTGATATGCCAGTCAAAAGATGAAGACTACATTTAATCTGGCTGACGAGTGAATGTTTTTAAACATTCTGTTCACATATAAATGTTTCAATAGCTATTCAAACAACAGCTAATACCAAATGTAACGTATACATTTAGAAACTGTTTACATGGCATTAGTTACAGTAACACTTGTAAACTCTTGAGATGTGTCACCTTGCCACATAGTAGGTCGATCCTGGAGAGCTTAACACAATATGATTTAACTCTGTCTGGTAAAACATTCCAGCTAATTACCACATCATACTCAGGGTCTTGGGCAAAGAGCTATCTCATTTGGTGAACAGCATTCATTAATATAATATTGCATTTACCATAAGTCTGGGCTTGTAGAAAGAAAAGCAAGGGCTGTAACAAAGCCTTTATAGTCTATGCAACCAATATCTAAGCTTTTATCTCCAAATGTCAATTATTTATGATCATCAGAGGCTGGACATTAAGCTATCTATTGTTACACTGCAAAGACATCCATCTAATCAACAGCACTTTGTCAATCAGATTTATTTGTCTTTTTAATATCTTTCTATCTATCATTAAAAAGTTTCCTTTGCAGTTTCCCTTCAATTATCCTGAATCGTGTAATCATCAAATGAGGATATAACAGCCATCATTGCTCACAAAAGAACATTATATGTCAAATGGAAAGGACTAACCTAATGCGTGAAACAAGACCTTGTCAGGGACAATTTTACACAATTCAAAACAATGTAATGTACGAAAGGTAACAAAAAGGTTACAGTATTGGTGATCCTTTCAAAGTTGAGAAATAATTGCTTAAACAGAGCCCTCTACATCCATACAGGTGTTTTAACTTATTCTCGTGAATTAGTCCTGCCCTAACAGTTGCAAATAAGTAAACAGAGGGATGACCAAGATGCAAATCAAGCACAGAAAAATATACTGTATATATATATATATGTATCACCTCTGTATGTTTACTATATGGGGGGTACCATACATTGAGTTGCAAAAGTGGGTCACTGGGTAAAGTGATAGCATGCACATGTAATCATGCAGGCCTAAGTTACATACACACAAACTCTGAGGCAGTGAGAGTGTCTGACAGTCAAAAGCAACCACTCACCTACACAACCCTTTGGACCAAGGAACTGACTGCAGAGGCCTGGATATAAATCAGTATATTCCTGCAGCTGCCCTCTTCTGCCTGTGGATTAAGAAGAATCAACTGTTAAATTATATTATTTGACTTATTTTTAAAAAATGTTGACTCAACACAAGATTATATCACTTTTAATCGAAGACTAATTCATTATAGGCAAATTGTACCATTACTCAGCTCAACTCATATTCTAAAAGGTTCTGCTACTACTGTGTAGCTGGTCTGGTGTGACCAATACCTTACATGGGCTAATGTTAGCAAACTTCAGATTGATATTGCTGCGTAATTGACATGACTTTAAAGGGGAACACCACTAAAATTAAGAATTCCAGTTTGTTATTTTCATGGCCTAGGAAGTTTCAGTCAATATTTGTGAACACCAGCTTCTCTACATTTAAGCCAGAAACAAAAGATGTCTCAAACTAGAGATGTCATCAAGTATAATGTCTGGAGCTGCTCCACAGACAACAAATGGTAGTCTGATTTTGTGCACCCAGAGATGTTTGTTTTTATACTCAATTGAGGTTTATACTATTGTAATGTTCTCAGTTCTAAAAATAAAAACGAACATTGCCTTGGTTGCTCTCACACCGTGTCCTAACAGCAAGCGAGTATCTGACTATCATACCACATGGCGTTACATCAGATGTTCTCTATCCACACTGGAACTCAATCACGTCGTGTAAACAGCAGCTGTGGTATGTACTTCTTTATTATTCATATTCACAACAATACTAGAACAGGTGCGCATCTCACACAAAAATACTTAAAGGGAAATTTCGGTTTATTTCAACCTGTCTCCTATCGTCCTAAATTTGTTTCAAGTCACTAGTGACATAGAAATAATAGTTAGCATGTTAGCCGTTAGCCTAGATACAGCCGTAGCGTCAGACCTGTTAAAACTTAATTGAACGGGCATCCTTTCAAGTGCAAAGTTAGTCCACTAAACAAGCTTTTTCTCCACAAAGTCCGCCTCATATCGTTAGGATAAATGTCAGAGAACATATAGAAAACGACATGTAAACGTGTTGTCTTACCTTACCGGTGTGGTGCCATGTTTGTTGTTTACCATTTAGCTAAGGCTGCAACCGGTCCCATTCCTTGCAACAGAGGTATTCCTCTTCTGTGGGCACTGGGGTACAGCATTCACAGGTAACGTTACACCACCAATCTCCAGAGCTAAAGCCTTCCAGCAGCCATTCCTCCTCTGTCGTCCTCTAACGTTACCTGTTGTGCCTCTCTCTCTCTCTCCTCCTCTGTTCTTCAATTTCATGAAGCTCTTCATCAGTGTATTCTGGCTCAAAAAAATAAGGGCGGCCATCGCCTCTCGATGTGGAAAGCCTATATACTAACATTCCACATTTAGGTGGTCTTCAGAGTTGTCTTACCTTACGGTGTGTTTACCGTTTACCTCTGCTTCCCAAAGCACGGCTGAAATATCGTGAGAACAAGCAGCGATCCCATATCGTGCCTGAAATCTCGCGAGAACAAGCCGCAGCAGCTGCAAGGCAGAACCGGACAGTAGCCTGAAAGGTTCATTCATTTATTTTATGAAAGATTTATAGAATAATGGCTGACTTTTTGCCAGACTTCGACTTTGTGGAGGAGGAATTTGATTTTGCAGAGTTTTAAGGCCGCCCTTATTTATTTAAGCCAAAATACACTGATGAAGAGCTTCTTGAAATTGAAGAACGGAGGAGGAGAGAGATAGAGGCACAACAGGTAGAGGACGACAGAGGAGGAATGGCTGCTGGAAGGCTTTAGCTCTGGAGATCAGTGGTGTAATGTTACCTGTGAATGCTGTACCCCAATGCCCACAGAAGAGGAATACCTCTGTTGCAAGGAATGGGACCGGATGCAGCCTTAGCTAAATGGTAAACAACAAACATGGCACCACACCGGTAAGGTAAGACAACACGTTTACATGTCGTTTTCTATATGTTCTCTGACATTTATCCTAACGATATGAGGCGGTCTTTGTGGAGAAAAAGCTTGTTTAGTGGACTAACTTTGCACTTGAAAGGATGCCCGTTCAATTAAGTTTTAACAGGTCTGACGCTACGGCTGTATCTAGGCTAATGGCTAACATGCTAACTATTATTTCTATGTCACTAGTGACTTGAAACAAATTTAGGACGATAGGAGACGGGTTGAAATAAACCGAAATTTCCCTTTATCAGACATTCAGCTCCTTGGCAATCTTCCTCCAAGCAGATACCAACTTATTTAGGATTTTGTTGTGAAATTACGAGTATCATATAGATAACTCTTCAATTTAACCTTGTGAATCAGCCATTCCTCTCGCTTTCAAGGCCAGCACCTCAGAACACATCCTGCTGCTTATGCGTAAATTAATTTAGTCATTGATGCTCGCTTGGGTTGCATCCAGTTAGGACATGGTGTTAGTGTCATATAAAGCATCTTCCCAAAGTGTCTATGGAACAGCTCCAGACTTTTTACTCTATGACATCACACATTTGAGTTTTAGGGCTCTAGTTTCTGGATTTGGGAGAGAACTATCCATGTTTACAAATATTTTTGGGGTTTTCTTGGACCATAGGAATAACATGTATCGAAAATGGGTGTAGTGTCCCTTTAGGTTAGTCCTTTAAACATGCTACACAAAATTTCAGCAATTATATATCCTGTAATATTTAATGTTATTTAAACACTGTTTAATGGAATTTACATAGCAAATGCCCTTGCTACAGTTTCCTACTCACTCCAGTACTCTTGAGCTGCCTGCAGTACAGTTTAAATGCTCTCATTAGCTTTCTAACCAACAAAACTGCATTTCAAGCTAATGTGAGAGTGGTTGTAGCATTAGCAGTGCAGTAAGTTAATGCTAAATAGCCACCATAAATATTCATTTTAGCAAATGCAAAGTAGTATTTAAACATATTTACAGTTAAATTGCACAAGTGGAAATTACCTTAAACATTACCTTAAATAACATTAAGTGTGCTAATAGTAGCATTTAGCTTGGCCACATGGAAACTTCTAGCTTTTAACTGGTGTAGTTAACAGCTAAGCTATGTTTCTGGGCAAACACACTGAAATAAAAGAATTAAAAACCGTTTTAATTACCGACAATAAGTTGACATTAACGTCTAACTTCCACTTTCATGCACGCGGAGGAGCATTTAGCCGTGAGACAGCAGGTGAGGAGTCTTAATAGTCTTGTAGGCGGGGTTGTCATGTCTAACAATTAGACAGTTTGACCGGGGGAGTACGCACAGTGAGGGAACAGCGGATGTCAACGCTTTACGACAATTGCCCTCCATTTCCGGTACAAACACATGCATGTCCGAGCGACGAAAACATGAGAGGTCAAAAGTTATGATCCTAATCTACAGCAGAAACGGAACGTAACGCACAGACATGGTAGGTCGGGCATGTTATTTACTAACTGGAACAACAGTATGTAAAAGGCTGCACAATTAACAGCCTGCCTTAAAGTTTTAAAACGTAAATTATAAACGGCTAAGCTAACATTAGCTTTACCCAAATGTGCATGACCCAACACGACGTGCCAAACCCAGCTAATATTTGATTCACCGTTTTGATTAGCCAGTGAACCAACATTAGCATGGCAAGACATCATTGGCAGTGGTTTGAAATTAACGTAGCTAACGCTAATTAGGCTTCACACGAAGCCACCGCTTGGTTATGTGGCATTTGTTTACATTGCAGCCACAGGAGGACAGCTTGTTAGTAGATGCTGGCGACGCTGTGTGTCCTCACAATGTTAATCTGATGTCTCTCTCTGTCTGTGTCTGTCTCTATATACAGGCCAGTTCCATGGTGGCAGTGGGACTGGCTTTGGCAGCAGCTGGATTTGCAGGTGAGTAACTTAGTTTGTAGTTTAGGACCGAGCACCTTGACACAAAGTCCAGCAGTTTATCAGATAACTCACCTTCAGGAACACAGATTTTCTTAACAATGCAGTACCTGCTGCAGCATTTCATATGCTGAAATTAGGGCAAGGCAAGGCAGCTTTCTTTGTACAGCACATTTCATACACAAGGGCAATTCAAAGTGCTTTACAGAGCGATGAAATATACAACATAATAAAGGAAACAAAAGAGTAAAGAGAAAACATATAAAAAAGGTCAAATTAATTACTAAATGAATTAAATTAAAGTGAACTGTAATTCTAAACTAAGAAAATTAGTTTTGTTTCATATGCTTTAAGAGTTTCTTTGATGTAATGAGTAATAAGTGGTTGGAATATGGTTCATTACATTGAACATCAATTTGACTACTTTATATGTGTGATTTTTGTATACATTAGTAGCCATAGCATCAGAATCAGAAAAGGATTTAATGCTAAGTAGGATTTCACTTACAAGAAATTTTCATTGGTTTTTGCTGCATACATTAAACGTACCATTAAACTTAAGAGGAATGAAACAAGCCAAAGTACTGCAACACTAAAGACCTTAAATATAGACCTGAAAATTTGCAGTAAAGATGCAAAGATACTATTAAAAAGTACTATAACGTTAACGTAACGTTTTAGGATATAATGATACTGATATGGAGAAAAATAGAATTGATTTTAAACATATCTCCCAACCTCACTACTGAGAGTACAGTATCAGTAGTATCAGTGTTAAAATTTCTAAAAGTAGTACAGACATTTCCACAACTTTACTTATATATAAATATACACAATATAAATATGCTGGATGCGTGCTTTCCCTCTTCTTTGTCTCCCAGGTCGATATGCCATGCAGGCCATGAAGCAGATGGAGCCTCAGATGAAACAGGCCCTTCAGAGCTTCCCCAAGACAGTAAGAAGGAAACACGCATATATTAAGTATATCTCCAAATGGAAGTACGATATGTGCTGGATACCTCATGATGTCTCACTTTATTTTTATTAAGTGATTTTGCTTGCAAGGATCACTTTGCAGACCAATCATGGTGAACTTTTAACTTTACATGTTGCTGCAGGCTTTTGGAGGAGGGTACTATAGAGGTGGATTTGAGCCAAAGATGACCAAGAGAGAAGCTGCCCTGGTTTTAGGTGTCAGGTATGTGGACACACTCTGTCTGTCACCCAGCACTGGACCTCAGTTAAAGGATAACTTTGGTATTTTTTTAACCAGGACACTGTGTTCCCATGTTTTAGGCATAAGTCAGCAGCTAATGGGAACAACTATTTTTGAAACTGGTCCAGCATTGAGCAACAAAACGGGGTACAATGATACCACTGAGGCTATTTGAGCGTCTCAACTTACATCCACTAGAAGTGCTTCTTTGTGACTGATTGGCTCAGATTATTATTTTATGTGTCAGACAAAATTATGAAAAGAATCCCTACAGAGATAGATCTTTTTGTTAAAGAGTAAAATCCTTTTTGATCAATCAGAAATGGCTCCAAAATCGCTATCACTAAACCCACCAGACTCCATTTACATAAACGCTAATTTCATCATCTTAAAGCCTACTTCATTTAAAGACAGCAGAAACAAAATAAAATTCACAAAAACTGTCTTGGGTTTGTCTCGTCACTGTTCCAGCAATTACTGACTCTGGTTTGTTTGAATTAAACCCTTAATTCACCCAGTTAGATGTGAAACTATGCTGGCTTTATACATACTAAAATTATTGTTTCTTTAAATGGAGTCTGGTGGGTTTGGCGATGGCGACGTTGTGGCTGTTTCTGGTTAAAGAAAAAGGTTAAAGGTTAAAGAAAAAGGTCTGTCTCTGCAGGGATCCTTTCCATAATGTTGTCAGACCCTTAGAATAATAATTTGAGCCGGTCAGCGGCAAAAAACAAGCATTGCTGGCGGACGGAAGTTAACATAAATAGTTAGCTTGTTTGGCCACTGCTTGCTGCAGCCCTCTCACTCAGTACTGGACCATTTTAAAAAACTGTAGTTCCCATTAGGCACTTAGCCACAAAAAATAATGGAAATATGGTCCTGGTTGAAAAAAACCAAAGTTACCCTTGAAGTCCACCAGTTGCATGTTACTGTACATCCAAGCTCACACCAAAATTAAAGAATTAGGTCTGTGCTGTATGTTCACCTGTGTTTCTGTCATCTGTCTTTGTACTTCCTGTCAATTTGCTAATCACTACTATTCACACTGATTATTACGATAATAACTGACTGCTGTTGTATCGTTCTGTCTTTCAGTCCCACAGCCAACAGGACTAAGATCAGAGAGGCACATAGAAAACTGATGATCCTCAACCATCCAGATAGAGGTATGTGGTGCTATAGATACTGTAGTGCTCCTACAGACATTGGTTCCCATAGCAAAAAATCCTGAAATGTTACCATGGACACTGTGTGTGTGTGTGTGTGTGTGTGTGTGTGTGTGTGTGTGTGTGTGTGTGACAGGTGGATCTCCCTACCTAGCAGCGAAGATAAACGAGGCAAAGGATTTCCTGGAAGGCCAGACAAAGAAATAGAAGTGATGATGCAGGCGATGAAATAAATGTGATTCCACACTGCTCTGATCTCTGCTGTTGCACTTGACTTGACTCGGGCGATTACTAGACTTTTCTAACTGATTGTTCTCAAATAAAATCATGCTGTACAAATTGTTAATGGAAGCTTCCCTCGTTATTGTGTTGTGTTTTAGACGTGTACTTTCCAGGGAGTGTTTCTCTGTGGTGATTTTCCACAAGACAGGAACTTTTAACAATTGATTCACATTTAAACCATACACTTATCCTCATATATACATTCAAAGTGTTTTTGTTAACTTTGAATTGTCAACGAAAACCCACCTGATTGAACTCAGACTGCTGATGTATGGACAGGAGGAACGTCACACAAAAAGTTATCCCACAAAGCCCAGTGTATATCAGTACCATTGTAAGAGGTTTAATTTAGGGTGGGTTACACACACATCACATATACTAGAGAGGTAAACAATTCTCTGGCAGTGAAGTAGCAGCAGTTGGACGTTCCATTTGCACTCGCAGTGACTTAATATAGCTCTGACACCGTGTAAAAGAGCCAACAGTTAAGAGTCGGGCTGATATCTAAGATAAAATTGTGCTGGATTGCATGCATGCGTTATTTGCCTATGAGTCCCTTGTGGTTAGACATGACATGCCACTATCAATTAAACTATAAGGAGAGGTAATTACCTAATGTATTTACATTTAATGGTTATTAAAGAAAAAATGCTTACCATAATGAGTACCAAAAATGGGTTTAAAGTTGTAAAAACCTTCAGGAAGTGATCATTGGAGATTAATGACCTAACATAAGCCATGTGGAGGCTTGTGACATTTACACTTAGGTGACACCATCCTTCAATTTCTTAATTTTTAGCTTGATGAAGGTAAAATGTGTCGCAACGTAGCATTATAAATGAAGCATTGTGGTGCTACATAGATGCCTTGACCTACAAATCATAATCCAGGCATAAGGGAATATGCATGTTTTGTACAGACCCCAGCAAATATCACATACATATTTTTCCCCAGTGACAAATGCAATATGAATGCGATATGTTGGGGTTTTTTTGGCATATTGTGCAGCCACAACTTATGTTGTTTTACATTCCATAAGAGAGCCAGACAAGTGGGTTTGAGATCTACATGGAAGATCAAGTTTATTTAAGAACTAACTGCATACAAAACATATTGCACATCAACCAACCAGAATGATCCTTAAAAAAAAAAAAAAGAAAGAAAAAAAAAACATACTGTAGTTGCCCCAACAAAAACACTTGGGATGTCACAACTCTCAGTAGTCCAAATTGTCATTTGTCTCAAAAGGAAACTCTAAGTAACTCATGTTTTAGTGTCGAGAAAAAGAAGAGCTTCTCTTGTTTTGCCCCTTTTTTTGTTTAAATACTGTACATTTTTTAAATAAATAAACCAAATAAATCTCCTTCCTCAGAGGAACAGTCATGACCAGTTTCCAGCCAGCCAGTCTGTGGAAGAACCATGAAAATGACATCATCGTCACCTGGGCTTGGTTTTCCAGAAACATCTCCAACACCAGGGTACTCAAAACAAGACTTTTGCTATAGAGAGCATTTACAAGGGGATATCAATCTCCAAGATACTGCAAACCGGCTTCGAGTCTCTTCTGATTTAGCTGGATTTCTGGGAGGAAACAGCACTCATTATCCCTGCTTGTCATATATCTGATGGAAGTGCCCGATGTTTAGCAATGAGATGTTTCCAGGAAACCCAGCACTGATGGCTACATCTCTGTCCAGCACTTAACAGTAAACAGGCCAGTTTCCAGACTCAACTACAATCAACTTTTTAACAGAAAAAAGGCTATGTTTCAGTGCAAAGAAAACAACTCCTCTATTGTTTGTTTCTTTCCCAGACAACGCTGTAATAACATTTCTTGTATGACCAAAGTGGTTGCATATTGAAAAACAGAAAGCAGCTAATGTCAAACTCCTCAACAGATATATATATAAAGGATAACTGGACTCTTTTTTCCCCACAAACATTAAGAATAGACACACCTGATTTTAAAAAGATATGCCTCTGAAATCCTTTCAGGGACTTTCAGTGTTTGCCTCCACCCGCCTACAGTGCCATAAGGGAATATATAGCACAAGGAGACAGCTTGTGGTTCAACTGTGGCAGGCAAGGGTGACAGAGTAACACGGAAACAAGTGAAAAGATTTCAGATGGTGTGCAGAGCCAGGCAACAACATGTTGAATCTACTCTCAAGGCACAACAGATGATCACGTGTATGTCAAACATACTTGGGTTTCCAACAAACCTATCTGCACTGTGGTACTGCTCATGCAGAATATTTAATTTACAAACTACAGATGCACAAAACATCCTGAAAAATGTTGTGGAAGCATCTTTCTGAGCCCACCTGGTAAAAGGCGGACATGTTTCTGTTCTAAAATCCTGCTTTGATATTATTTGTACTGATAAAAAAAACAACTGCTGCATTGATACCATAGTATGGGTTTGAGTGGAATCCCTGTCTGCATTTTATAAATACTGCATTCAGTCCGACCTCTCCCTGAGCTCTCAATGAAGAGCGGACTGAAATGTACAGTTACGTAGATGTCTGTAAGTTTGTGTGTGTTTGACTATCTTTGGCAAGCTCATACAGGAAGAACTATTGTAAAAAAACCTGTAGTAAAATGAATAGTTGGACAGAATGTGTGTGTAAAGGGGAGGTTGAGGTTCAGACCTCAGAAACCTTGCGCAGTGGAACAGGTTTCAAATACTTGCAAAGTAAAAAATAACAGTGCTTGTGTTTCATTTTAAAGGCTGCGCCAGAGACAGGGAGATTAAATTAGGTGCAGCCAAATCATTTCAAATATTTGAAACCATTTCCTTTGCTCAGGTCTGACTAGGAGAGTCCATTAACAACAGGTTGCAGGTTCGAGTCCCCCTGGTAGGAGACTTTGGCGGGAGCTCCGGTGGCATCGCTGCCCTCGCTGGCGGCAGCGTTGGAACCATTGGTGGTTGCCGGGGCAGACGGTGGGCCGTCCTCTGCAATGGCATCCACCTGACCCTGGACAGAAATGTGGGACGGACAAATTATGCACTTCTGATGCATTCAAACAAATTCACAATGACGCAGCCAAGAAGAAATCATTTCATTAAGCGACTTCATAAAAGGTTAACTGTGATTCTGTCAATAATTTCTGCTGCATTCATGTGATGTCGGAATAATCAAAAAATTATTCCCTAATGAAAAAAATGTACATGAATGCCCCCGTCAAATCGGAACCACAACTTGGAGTCAGCGAACATTTCGGTACACGATTTGCTGAGTCGATGTCCAATTATGCAGAAACATGGTGGACGAAAGTAAATGTGGGGTTGATGGAGTATAACTTTTTTGTTAATTCAAGTATAGTTAGAACTTTTTTTAATGGCATTAAACCTCACAATAAGTGAGGTAAAGCAATATTTTAGTGGTTTTAGGGAATGTAGTGTTGCAGCAAAGTCTGGGACAAAATCATTCATATAAAGCTTCAAACTGTTTCAGCTTACTTTGATAGCAAAATGAATTCCCACTGAGACATTAGTCTCAGCCAGCCTATCACCCAGATGCTTCCACATTACGACTTAAAGCTCATGAACCCACCAAAGATGAAAGATTGCCTCTCTATTGGACAATGGGACCATCCATGGAGCACTTGAATGCACCTCTACTAACACATGATGTAGGTACTAACCACATCCTTGCTCTTCTTGGTTTCCTTGTTTGTGGTCATCTGTCTGCTCTGAGATTCAGCCCGGGATATGTAGTCAGCCACTGTCACTATACAGACAAGACAACAGAGAAAAGAACCCACTGGTCATGATATTGTTCTCAGAGGCCAAAATGCTCTCTCAGTGCTGTAAAGCAAAGCGAATCTACCCCAGACCTTTAGAGCCTATTCACACACACACTGTAGTTTAGTAGTAAACATGGACAGTAGCAGAAGTTGCAAATGAGGAATGTGGAGAAAATCATTTTTCACATTTGCCCCATTGTTGGTCAATTGCTGTGGAAAGCAAGCACGTTTGACGGTTTTTAGAATGTTACAGTAGATCCTGTCAGGCAGTCTGAAAGGAGATTTCCAGCACTTTCAGACTCTCCAAACAGCACTACTTCTCGTAGATTTAACTTGAGGCCACATATACACAACATCACAGAAAAGGAAGTTGGAGGTCAGGCCTACTATGACACATACAAAAAAAACAAAAAAAAAAACAGGACTGCTGTTAACAGTTTTACAACATGTAAACAAACAAGCTGTTGCCTGACTGTTAGTGAACAGGTAAAGAAAGTAGTAAAAGAAGACGCATTCAACCTGCACAGCAAACCGGTGTGGACGGTGAGTCAGCCAACCATTTCCAATAATTTAGCAAAAGCAACACTCAGTTACCACGTCATCAAAGAGGCCTGAACAATTTTAACACCTTTTTGGTTTAGTATGCTGTTGGTGTCACACATAAAACAAAACCAGGCCTTGTGCGCAACCTTTTAGTCAAAGCATTAGGATCACTGTATGGGGAAGGGGATACTCGCAGTTGCTATGGTTACCTGGCTGCCTCTCCTCAGGCAGGCGGGCACGGCGACGGCGACTACGGTTACGACGCTGAGGTTTAGCCTCTGAGTCATCTAAGGGTGTTAGGTCATCACAAAGAGAGGGATTTGGGGCTTAAATTGCCTTTCAACCAGAGACCTGTCTTTGAGCTGCACAGCTCAGACAGCTAAAAAAAAGCACTGTTAACACTAAGAAATGTATGACAGACTTTCTTACTAAGAGACTCAAAAATGAATGTACCCTGACAACACTGTTTTACATGTATGCACTGTTTGAAGAAGTCTTGTCAGATAATCTTTCCAAATAAAGCGACCTCCTTACCGATTCCATTTTCACTCATTGAGGCGTTGTCTGACTCGCTCATGCCATCCATCAGTGTGGTGTCCTCATCTGTTCTACGCCGCCGCGATCTTCTGCGGCGATTTGCAGGCATGTTTGACTCGCTAGCATCTGTATCAGCTGTCTGGTCAGTCTCAGTGTTTGTCTCTGCAACACCGTAGGCATTGTTATCCTCATGGTACTGATGCCCTGCTGCAGAGTCAGATTTACAGAAAATAACTTAGACCTTGAGTCTAACTACTGAATGACAAAACTTTTTATTGTGTGTGTGTCCCACTCTCATATGCTCTATGAGGGGTTTTTACCAGAGCTGTTGCTGTATCCTCCTCTTCCTCCTCTTCCCCGTCCTCCAGGCCCCCCTCGGCCTCTGCCGGGTCCAGGCCTCCTGCGACCATCTCTTTGTGGTCGGGAGCCTCTCTCCCTCTCCCTCTCCCTGCAAGTTCAGTAGTCAGTCAATCAATAAATAACATGTGCATGTCTGAAGCAATAACACAGCTTACACTAGAAAAAGCTTCAGACTTGTGTGTGTCTTTATTAAATTTACAAATAGCCTCACCTGTCCTGGTCCTCTCCAGCAAGAGACCAGTCACTGAGCTCATCTCTGCGCTCTGAATCAGTCTCAGAGGCGTTGGACTGCTCTGAGTTGGTGCCTAGAAGAATCAGGCAAACACAACAGAGAGGCAGCAACACAGAAAGGTAAGTGAAAATGTTTCTTTTTGTCCAGATATTTCAACTCCAGCACTATTTTGTTTCTAACATCTTGCACAAATGTTCCATTAGTTTACAAATTTTAATACACCACTATCTGGCAGGAAATAAGTTGATTATCTTTGTTGACTATATGATTTCTGAAAGGTTCCTACCATATCCAGCGCTGTAGCCATGGCCTCTCCGCCCACGCCCTCGACCATTGTAGGAGCGACTGCCATGTAAAGAGGACGAGGAAGCATTGGCACTGCCATCTGCGTTATACCCTCCTCCTCCTCTTTCGCCTCTGTCGCCTCTGTCTCCTCTGTCCCCTGGGCGGTGACCCTGGGTGATCTGACGTAACTGTTCATCAATCTGCATCCTCTCCAGACGAAGCTGCTCGACCTCCTTGAGGGGAAAAAGAAATGGAAAATGTTAAGAAAAAAAGAAAATGAGACAAAAGGAAAAGCAAGAAACTGAAAACATTTGTGATTGCATTTTTTCTTTGTGATTCTTTTTTTTTTTTCTTAAAAAGTGTTATCGCCTGATATACATGCACAGTCATCATACACACATCTCCACCACATCCAGTGTGCCTTTTGTTGCATGTTCTGAATGTTGCTAGGCTGCTTCCCTGTGTAAAATCCAAAATCTGCCTCAGCTCTTCCTCTAGCTGCCGGCCCTCCACAAGAAGCTCCACCATGTCCTACACACACACACACACACACCATGCAAAACAAACACACACAAAGCACCAACACAGCACAAAACATGCACAAAACAGGACACACAAATACACATGCACAAAGTGCAAGACGTACACAGTGAAATTCACACCGCAGAACAGCAAAGTGATTAGCTATAAAGATTTATCATAAATCTGTATGGCATTCACAATAACTGTAAACTGAAAATATCAAAATTATAATTATCAGGTATTCCCAGAGGTGGTAATAAACTGTGTGTCCAGCTGTCCAACCTCAAGTAAATGTCCAGCTGGTTATTATCAAACTTCAAACTGCCTTCATCTCCTTCAACCCCGCTGCCTGTGTGGTGGGTTTCTGTCCTCACACATTACCATCTAGCTGTGACTGATCGAGCTGTTAGCCTCAGAATGGAATAAATGTACAAAGACTAGTTTGATTCATTTACCAAAAACCTACAATGTGACCAATCAATCTATGTCATCTCATGAGCTGCGTCTGACAGATCCTGATGCTTTTCATGCGGTTTAATTTAGTGACTAGACTAGCCCAGAAAAATAAGTAGTCACCCATAAAATGTGTAGCTTCTGCTCCTATTTCACAAAGTTTCACAAATATTTTAATTCATAAAAATGTGCCACATCATTATGATGTTAGCAGAGGCAGTCTTTACACTCAAATACTACTGTGTGGTGAACCTTGCTAATTCTTTTCATTTACTGCATAAAAACATATACTAAGTATTTTTACATTTTTGCATGATTCATGTTAAATAATTTATAATTACCATTTAGTTTTACATACTTCCCTATCAGGTATGGCTTTATGTGAGTACAAACTGAAATCAGTGTTACTGTTAAGCCTATAGCAAAGCTTATGACTATATTATCACTTATCACTATAGACATGCTGGTGGCCAAATAAGTGCCAGTTAGACCTTATGAATGAAAATGATTCCAACATGTGTCCATGGTGCCACCTCATGCTGCCAACTGAATGAAACACTGGTTGGCCAGGAGATGCATTAAGAGGCAGCCTGAAATGGCTGTAAATTGAAGCTGTGGCATTGAGTGAAAGCAAAGAACAAATTGGCAAAAACATACACAAACTTCCATCAAAACAAGCCCTTTCCATATTCAGCACACACACATACACACACATATATATATATAAAGATCTTTAAGTATCCTTACATTGAGGTAAGAGATGTGGTACTCCAGCAAGACCTGAACGTTGCCAATACTTTCCTTAGTACCAACAAAGGTGAATGGGACCATTCCCTGTGTCAACAAAACAGGAAAAAACACAGCGCACATGTTAGTATGGGACTGACTTAAGCAAATGATAAGTGTCTACATTATTTGTCTAGAAAAAACAAAACTGGTGAACCTTATCAATGTTCTATGAGCTAGCTTTATCAGTGGCAGTAAAGACGTGGCAGTAGCAGGCTTACTTCCTGTCGGGGCTGCTTGTTGTCATTGTCTCCTTCTATCCTGACCCTCACCACACCTGACTTGTCCACAATCTCCTGGATGACCTTACCGTTCTTACCAATCACTTTTCCTGGGAACAGAGAGACACAGATATTGTAATGAACATCAGATGAGTTTGGGGTACTTTCAGGCTCATGCAGTAAATGGGTGTGCCTACGTACCAACAAGGTTTCTGGGCACCTGAACAGAATCCTCCACAAACTCCAGGTAGTTCCTCGCCTTCTTCACTGCCTCCGCTGTCTGAAAGACAACTCAGGGTCACTTTATCTGGTATACATTCAACTAACACAAATGCACAGTCAACAGTAAGCAACTGTTTGTTCTACGTCCTACATACTTGTTTCGGTTTAAACACATGTTCAAATATGTCCACACTGTTACTCTCAACGTTTACTGTTGTAAGGCCTTGTATTCATTTGGTCCTTTTTTAACATTGAAACACTCATGTCTCCACCAACACCCAGGCACACAGCACCCTACCTCTCCATAAATCCTGAAAGTGCCAGTCTCCTCATCCAGGTCGATGGCAGAGACACCTGGAACTTTTCGTGCTTGCTGGATGTTGCTGCCATGGCTGCCGATGGCCAGGCCCATCAGATCCGTTCTCACTGTGAACTCCTCCTGGAAGGACGACACCAGCTGCCTGGAGCTCTGCACACACACACGAGTAACGTTTAATTTGTTTCTAGTTCATCTTTTAATAAGTGAATCTTTTGCTTTTAATCAAGTCTAGCCAAAACAGACAAAACAAAAGTTTGTTTCCTATCCACAACAAAGCCAATTTAGCCAATCAGAATGCTCTTTACTAACAGTTCCCTTTTATTTGAAGTCTATGCATTAAACCACATACCTGCAGAGAGTATTTTTGGGAAAACATTAATTTAAATAATATTTAAATGTCACCAGTACTCCAAAACATTTGATTTCCACAGCCTAGTTTTGAGTGAAACCATAAGTGGCCCTAAAAAAGTTTAACTTCATATGGTATGATCATATGGTTACTAACTGCCCCTCCTGTTGCCATGTTGACCAACTACCTTTCAAATGATCATGTTAAGGTTACCAATTATTCCCTTAATGCGTACTAAGCTGCCTTCATGACCTTCAGCTCACCACAGTGACTGAGCCACAGTGTTCTTTTTACCAACTGACCTCCAGGTGTTTTGTGGCCTCGTGGTTTCGTGACATTAACAGCAGCTTGGTCCTGATGCTGCGCAGGTGCATGTCACTCAGCAAAGACACACGCTTCACTGTCGCCTCATTGGTGGACTACACAGATACAAACACACACATACACACAGGAAATAAAAGAAAGCATTATAACATACATTGACCTGCTCCCTTCTTGATGACGACTAGAAAGAAAGGAATAGGTGACTCATCCCCTGTACAAACATGGGCAGGACAAAGTTGCGACATATCATGTAGTGGTGTAGATGCTATAATAAATATCCAAATGTCACCACAGGAGTACAGCAAGGCACTTACCACAATCAGTAGCTGGCTGGTCTCAGGGCAGTATGAGATGCGACAGGCTCCAACAGCTTTCTTAAAGTCCTTATGGGCGTTCTCATTCTGGCACCTGTAATATAAAAAAAAGTATTACTTTAAACTTCCCAAACCCTGATGAAAACAAATGGTTAACCCCTACATCTGGCATACAGCTGACAGGGGACTGGGAGAGAAATGCAAAGTACAGACCATATAACAAATAAAATAAACAATCTTTAATCTTCAACAATCATTAATTATAAAGATAACAGGCACTGAATTAATTTTAAGATTTGCCCCTCCCTACTATTTAAGTGTAAAACTGCTGTACATACGCTTCTTGTAGATCCTGAGGAACAGGGACAGTGCACTTGTGAAAGGTGTTCTTGGTGATGGCCTTGTTGGGGTTGACTGGCCGCAGACGCTCAAAGGTCACTATCTCATTGTAGGTAGCGTCGCAGGCTGCGTACTCTATCACATAGAACTGAAAAGACAGACAGGGTCAGTGTGTAAAATAAAATTTACAAACACCAACGTTACTGAGTTCAGTTGATTAACTTATAGTAATACTGAATATGATGACTCGCAATCATTGTGAACTGATTTTCAGGACCACAAAAGCAGTATTTTAGCCACATTAGCATTCTTTACTCAGCACTCTACTAGTTATAAGTTAATATATATTTATGGCCGCTATATTGGTCAATTTTAATGAATGTATACTTTGTTGGATATCTTTTTTATGCAAATTTTAAGCATACAGTGTAGACACTTGACTTGATAAGGAACAGTACTCACCGTTCCCTTCATCATGCGGACTTTAGCCAGCCACCAACCACAAGGCTCCTGTTCATTGGCTCTGGAGAGGATCTGACAGGAGATTCAGAACGAAACAGGGTGAGGGATACGGAAGTAAACAATGAAACAAAAAGAGAAGAACATATGCACGCCCTCCTCACCTCCACCTCATCCCCCTCTCCCATCTCTTTCTTGCCATCAGCAGGCGGTGGCAACCTGACGTCACTGAAGGGCACCTGGCGCTCTGGCTGCCAACTGAAAACAAGATTCAAGATCATTTCTTACCTTGCTAATAGTGTCCTATATGTGTCTTAAAAATTAAAACTTGACATGTTTTATAAAACAATATAAGCTGGAATACAGGAGAAAGGGAGACTCACTTGTTCTCAAAGGCAATGGTGAGAGAGTCATCGTGGATATCTTTGACAACGCCCTGCAGGGCAGACAAGGGGAAGCACATTACAACATGACAACTGACTAAAATAAGGCCCACCTATTTAATTTACAATAACTGTGCAGGATACAGAAAGAGTTGACTATCATTCTTCAAGCAACCTTTCCATTGTGATGGATATAAAAATATTAAGAGGCATGTATTACATAGTTTTAATTTAAGTATTGAATACTGCAATGTTAAGTGCACATTAAAACCTAGATTTGGCAGCATATGATCTGACTTGTTAATCAATAACTGTGACTTAATAACCAATAGTGGTCTTGGCCCAGGCGGACATAAGTTCCCAAATACAACTTCCGCCAGCAAGTTCTGCTGATTATTGAGAGAAACAGAGACATGTTTTCCTGGAGTTTCATGTCACTTTTCAAGGCTTTTGGGAATCAAACACAAAACTGCATTCAACTCAAATGCTTTTGGTTGTCAGTAAGAGTCTCAGCAGCTTAAAATCTGGGCAAATAAAACTGTAAGTGCCATGTGTCATGACTAGAGACCAATAAGAGGAAGTGGTATTTTTTTTATTTATTTGAAACAAGGTTTTAAATGCCCATAATTTGTCACAAAGTGACATTAACAGCATTTCCAATGCAAGTGCAAATGAAATTGTGAGTAGGACTGAGATGACTCACTTTTTTAGTATTCAATTAATTTTTTCAAGACAATTTGCCAAATAGTCTCTAGTTGTAGCTTCTCATATATGAGGATTTATCATTATTATTTGCCATGTTTGATGGTCTTGGACTAACAGAGTCATACAGCTGGAATGATCTGAGCAACTGTAACAGCCGTATTATAGTATTTTATAGAATTAAAACAGAATCAAGTAAATCATCTTGAAATTGAAAAACTAGTACAAAAATACACCATCATTAGATGCATCTCTAGTTGAATGTATACATTTGTGCCAGTGTCTTTTGCACATCATAAATATACCTCAAGACTAGCTGTAAAAAAGCTTATTGACTGACCATACACAAACACAGAACTGCGTATTTCCTAGGTATTCAGGAGCTGGAAAAAGGGGAAATTAAAACCCCCTGCTCATCTTGTTTGATTATAGTGTCAATTACATTATATTTTTAAACCAGAAACATAGAACTGTAAAGCCATGAAATTTAAGAGTTCAAGATTCAGCCTGGGCAGCTGACCAGCAAGCATTTGGGCAAAATGAGTCATGAAACCAGGGCTGGGTCGTCGGGTACACAGTGAAAACACACTGAGGACAGTATCAAATAGTAGCACAAGAGTCATGTGAGGAATTGAGGTGAGGCCAGAAAGGAAAATGAAAGAAGGAAATGAGTCCATGTAGCAGAGGAGACGAGAGAAGGAAAGAAGGAGACACATAGAAGAAGAGATCGAAGGAAAAGAGACGGGACTGTTGCAGACAGCAGGTCTAGAAATAGCTTTTAAGTCTACGGTATCAGTGACCCTCTCCTGGCATGCCAGCTGGTCAGGATTGACAAGGAACAGCTGGCTCACACATACAAAAAATAGTTTCTGCGTGATGAAGTATCAAATAATAGACAGCCGCTGAGTAAATGCAGTTTAACGAGAGCTCGAAAACACTATCATTAACTCGCCACGATGCCTCCTAAACATCACATACTTCAATATGATACATAACCAACAGCACTAATAACAGTCAAACTACTCTAATAACCGAATAAAACATACACGGTTTCAATCGGCAGCACATATTTCACAGCTTAGCGTCTAACCACAATTTAACGATACTTGAGCCTCATCTTTTGACGTCAACAGTTAGGGAACTAGCAAGTTAGCTAACTTTAAGCTCCAAAAAGCTACAACCGGACGCCAAGCACTTTTAATAAAAGCATTTATCGGTTATATATTCAAGTAATAAGGCATGCCATACTGTTTCCTTCACTCTGGGTGAAAGGTCGCTAAATAGTGACAGTAGACGAAGACTAGCGAGCGATGCCATAGCTTAGCCAGCTAATTTTGGCTAGCACTGCTAGTACAAGCTAATGGCAGGCAGCTAGGGGCTTCAGAGCACGTCGGATATAGTTGCTCTGGTCCGTAAGACTTCAGCTCAAATACTGTATCGTGTAAGGTGGCTAAATTGTTTCATGCTGAATTGATAAGGCGGTATTTACCTTGTAATAAGCCCCGTTGGAGCCACGGACCTCCACCGCCAGTTCTTCCATATTGGACACGCAAAGGATGTTGGGACGACAGGTGCTCCTTGAAGCATCAGGGGAGACGCTTGAAGGCTGGAGAGGTAGCTGCTCCAGGGCAGTGCTATGTTTAGTGTTCACTGTTGTACGAATATAACTCACTGAAAAAGGCTTTAATGTGTTTCCTTGCGCCGATAATTCAGCAAACTAAAGCCTCGTCTGACATATATATCTCCCTGATGTATTTTGGTTGTCGTGGCCCTTTAAGAGAGTGTAGTAGGGGCTGTGATCATATGTAACTAGGTAGCCTACATTTACTCAAGTACTGCACATGAGTACAATTTTGAGGTACTTGTACTGTACTTGAGTATTTCCATTTCATGCTACTTTAAAGTACTATAATCCACTACATTTTAGAAAACAATATTGTACTTCTCACTCCCCTACATTTATTTGGCAACCTTAGTTACAAGTTGCTTTGCAGATTCAGATTGTTAATACAAAATATCAACTAATAAATGATGATGTGTTATTATGGGTTATGCTACATGGCAGTATATCAAGTATATGAAAAGTTAGCTCCACGTTTACCAGCTGCAACATAAAAGTGATGTACATTGAGGTAAAGCATCGGTGATTATAATCCAGGGAAACTGTGTTATTCTGAAGAGGGCCACTCTGCATAGTAAGTAATAATAAATTTATAATAGTAATAATAATAAATTTATTTATATAGCACCCTTAAAAACAGATTTTACAAAGTGCTTTGACAAACAAAGAAAAGCGGAATACTCAGAAAATGAGAAAAATAGAGGGCAAAGCCATGAAAATTACACACACAAATGTTAGGTAAAGGCAAACGAGAGTAAGACCAAAAGGATAAAAAAATACATATATATATAAAAAGAATAAATACAAATAAAATAATAAAAGATAGACTCATTAAGATAAATAAATAAATTAACAGATAAAAACTAAGGTTTAAAATCTGCTATTTTATTGTATGTAATGAATATGGATCTGAGTCTGTAATAAAGTTTAACATAACATAACATAAAATCTAAAATAGACGACATCACATCAAGGCAAGTCTATAAAAGTGGATTTTAAGAAGTGATTTCTTAAAAGAAGTACTTAAGTATATTTTGATACCAATACTCATGTACTCATGTACTTTTACTCAAGTAAATTTTCAAATGCAGGACTTATACTTGTAACATAGTATTTCTACACTGAAGTATTGTGACTTATGCTTAAGTAAAAGATCTGAGTACTTCTTCCACCACTGCATAAAACTTAACTCCAAACAACAGTTACATTTGTAACTAAGTAAATTCACTGAATTACCTTACTTACTGTAACTGCAATTTTGAGATACTTTAATTGAGTACTTCTCTTTATCCTATAGGCTACTCATTTCTCCACTACATTTATTAAACAACTACATTTAGGATACTAGTTACTTTGCAGTTTAAGACACTCCATACAACATATCATTGTATAAAAATATGTTGCACTGTTTTGATCAAATATACTACAATAAAAATAGATGTAACTTTATTTGTCCCACTCAAGAAATTTTTATGCCAAAAACGCTCTGTATACATTAGCAACATGAATAGTATAAAGAGTATAAATATATATTTATTGTGTATTTCTTTTTTATATGTACAGTTTCTTTAGTGATACATGATATGTATGTCTATGCATGCATGGTAAAAAAAAAAAGAAAAAAGAAAGAAAAACATTTATATACATTTCAAACACAGGGAGGTGCACATCACAAATGAAAAAACTATGCTCTAAACTAAAAAGCAATTTAAAATACTGCACAGAGAGATGCACCAGTGTTACAAATGATAAAAATTACAAACATACAACTCTACAATAGTGCATCACGCAGTAAGTAGCATAGAATATGACTTAACAGCAGCGGATTTAGTTTGAGGTGCATGATAACAGTACACGATAATAATTTGTGTCAGTGTCCTGCAGTTACAGAAATAAGCTGTACAAACTAGTAACCACCAGGGGGAAAATCTCCTGTGGAAATGTGGTGTACCTTGGTGGTATCACCCTGACACTGCTTCTGGTGGTAACTTAGAAAGAATTGACAGAGACTGAGAGGTACAATAATGTCAATAAAATGCTGTTTATATGTAAATGCATTATTAATAATAAGTAAACAATAATTACAATATAACAGGGGTCACTCCTCTGCATAATGAGTATTACTTAGAATGTTTGAAGTCTGTTTTGCTGATAATACCACCATGGTTTAGTAAAGTAAATAAGGGACTTGCACTGATGGAGTATTTTTTACAGTATATATTGCAATAGTAGTATCGTTACCAAGAATGAAATACTCCTTCCACCACTTACTAGGGCAGTCAGTTACTGACAGTTATTTATTTTTATATAATTTTCAATATATTATGGGGATTATAGCAGGATAATTAGTTTGCCCATCTTGTTTAGTACTCCTTTAAATCACATTGAGCTGCCTCACATCCACACATTACAAAATGTCTTTCAAAGTGTCATTAAGAAAATGTACATGAAATTTTTAAAAATGCAATTTTCCTTCATTGTCCCTATGAAACCTTGGTTTCTCCACCTAGTATGTATTACTTATTTGATTTAAATGATTATCCATATATCTTTGGGTTAGGCTTCTGCAGTCTATCTCCAGTCTTGAACCTCCTTACATCTTAAAATAACACTTTGCAGGTAATATGGAAGAAAAATACAGCGAGCAGCAGAGAAAACTCAGAGAGCAGTTACAGATGGAGCATCTCTTATCATGCTCTGATAAAGCAAACTTCATGTTGTGCTTGCATCTAGGGAGGAAGAAGACGATAGAGACTGCACTTGGAGGCCTTACCTCACCCAAGTGAAGAGTTGTGGCTGCTCTGCTGTATTTTACAGGTGTGAATCAGCAGTGAATCCCTGCTGTGTTAAAAGCAGTCACATCTGCAGTTCTAATTGTAAGTTTCACACACAGAGTCTGAATTTCACATTGCTGTATCTTTATTATTTTGTTTTACAGAGGAGTAACAAATATTTCAGTTGATCCTAAATGTGTAGGCTGGTGTCATGTAATGTGGTGCATTGTTTTTTAAATTTTTCTAGTGCTAGGGCCTATTTCCCACAGTCAAAATGAACCAGTTGGGCTGCTTTACTAACAAATTTACTAGGCCTAAGTCAGTTGTCACATTTATCATACATATTTTAGCAGATCTTCATTCATACTTCACAGTGGAAATGACAGTGTAAAGGTTGTGGCATACAAAGCATCCACCTTCAGTGTTAAAATGTGCCAAAATATCAACAGCACTGAAAATACCTTTATGTTTAGTGGGCAGGTTATACTCTCCTCCTGCTGACGTGATTCCAACATCATTCCAGCCTTCATTCATTCAACAATGCAGCTTGTAGTTAGAGATATTTTGAGGGCTTTTTTTTGGCCAAGTATATTTTTCATTGGGCTGCTTTAAGATAAACACACATCAGACTCTACATTGAGTGTAGTAGTCAGTTAAACAGAGGGAAGGCGCCGGTGTGTGTTTTAGAAACAACCACTGTGACACCTAGTGGCCAACAGATAACCTCCTGGGGACTGTTACTCCTCTACATCAGATATTTATTCTGATTTGGCACCACCATGAGACTGCACCAGAGACACACTGCAAAACTCACTGTTAAATCAAACTGCAGTGGGGCATATCAGTGTCACATTTTGACAAATATGGACAATATATGGCTGTTAGCTAATTATAGCAGGAGGTAATTTGAAAATTTTTGGATTTGGTCACAAAAGTAAGATGTTAAGTCAGGATGTGCTGAGGTACAAAAATTGGTCAGTTTTACGTTGTCATTGGTATGGAAAAGTCACTCTGATGTTTGCATAGTCATAAAATCAAAATTATCACCAACAACAAAATGCCCGGCACGACCTAAAATTAATTAACCTAAGAGAGGTTTTGAATGTTTAACAAAAGGGTAGCCCCCAACACCAACTCTAATACAGGCAAATTTATGCTTGCTGTTTAAGCAGTAAATGTATATATTTTTAATTACAATTAATTGGAAAAACGTACCTATTTTTCATCTATAGATAAACTCTTTCTCCAGTGACTTAGAATACTTAGAATAATTATATATCGTCAAAACTACTGACTGAGCCTTTTAGGAAGTACCTAATTCTCTGAAGGTGTCATATTCAACAGGTAGATATAAGTGTTGTTTTGTCTGACACTTTTTGTTCTATTTTTTACTACGGGGACAAAAATAATACTTTTGCACAATGGAGGCATATGACACCCCCAACAAATAACATTGTCATCATTGTCATCTTATATTTTACAGCATGAGAGCCAAACATGTACAAAAAAAGTATCAATTAAAATACCTGACTTTTTTTGTAAATTCCACAACGACCCTGTGAGGAGCTAAATGCACATTCACACATGTGGGAAAACAAAAGAAACTGAACTTTAATAAGCAGACATCGACAACTTATCACCTGGCGAGCAAAATCAAACTCTGGGCAAACACAAATCCATAGATTAATAATAATTAAATGAAGACACATGCAAGTAAGCAAACACACACCCCAAAGCTACCAAAAAGTAGCCTTTATTATTAATACCATATAATACAATGTGAATATTAAGTCATACCAAAAGCACAACATCAATATCAGTGATACTGTATAGCATTTAATCATGTAGATTTAGACAATTGGATGCATTTTGACTTACATACGAGAGGAATTGCTGATATGTAATGACATAAGTATCATTACAGAGCAAGACATAATGATCACACTCTTTTAAATTCCACTGCATGTAAAAAGCTTAAAACAGGCAGAGAAAACTGCTGCCCAGTGAAAGAAAGATGATTTATTATGCAACAACAAATAAAAAGCATATATCTGTAGGGATGTTTTAAGGTATCTTTTGATGTATTCCAACAGCGTGATGAGGCAGAGATGAAGACAGCATGTTCCTGTGGTGTTTGGGTGTAATTCAGTGTGTACGTGCGGCTCTGTGGTGAAAATATTCTGCTCGGTCTGAAGACATTACCACAGACCCTCACAGTCTGCCTGATAGGCTGTTCTCACGTTCTGATTT